TTTTCCCTTTTTCCCTTTTTCCCTTTTTCCCTTTTTCCCTTTTTCCCTCTTTTCCCTTTTCCCTTTTCCCTTTTCCCTTTTCCCCAGAATTAGAAGTTGGCCAGTGGGCTTAAAATATCTGGGGAGGATATCAAGCTAGGAACCGCAAGCGGCATCTCCTTGTGTCCACCCCATAACTACAGGGAGAATTGCTCGTGTTTCTTTTGGCAAAAGTGATTCCTGAGTGCCCTGAAAAGAAAGGAAGACAACAAAATGTAGACCTGTGGTCATGTTTCTTACTGTTTCTTGCACAGTATAGTGTAGTGTGAGATGCCTTGATATGGCATGAATGCAGGCTGCGCATATAGAGAGAGCTGTAGAAGTTAGAGACTGGCTGACTGCAAAAATAAAATTGGGATTGCCATGTTGGGGAAGGAGAAAAGAATAGATTGGTGTGATTTGTCAAGATCAGATTATCTCGAGACTTTTCTGAGCTATAAACACTTTGACGTGCCGGTGGAAATTATTTCAAGCCCTGTAAGCTTTTCCAAGTGCTGATTATGCAACAGTATTCAGAAACAAAAACAATAGGTCATTTTTACTGTTTTTTCTAGTGGTGATATCTTTCCAGTTGTTTTTTTTTAAGCCTGTAATTCTCTGGTGGACTGAGCACAATGCAGTATTTTTAATGGGTTTTTTTGAGGAGGTGGGAAGAACAGAGAGCTACTTATTAATAGCAGTTGTTTTTTTAATTTTTTTATTGTCTCCCAAGAAATGATACTCGTGAGAGGGGAAAAAAACTTTCCACATTTGTTCGGCTCTGTTGTATCAGTCTGTCGTGAAGGCTGACACTTGTTTGAATGGATCTGTAAGCTAGTTAAGTGATACTGCTTGATACTGGATGCAGTGTCTGTATAGAAATGTATTTTGGAAATTCAGCAGAGAAATAAATGATTGACTAAATATGGAAAGTACTTTACCCTTTGTGCTTTTCTTGCCCACAGTGCCTCATGTGCATATATATATCTCATACATACAGGCACAGATAAAGGGCTCTATCTCTTGCTGGCAGCTTGTTGAGATCATCATTTTATGACTCGGGTTTTAGTTGCTTATGTTTAGTTTTTACAGTCCCTATCAACTCTACAGAACATTTGGTCTCCTTTTAATATACGTGGGCCCTAAAATAAGAACTGCAAGATGGCAGCATCACTAACAGAAAACCACCCCTTCCCCTTGTGCAAATTAATCTGCTCCTGTTCTTTGCCATTGGAGTAGGTTTTTCTCTTACCGTTAGTTTTTCTTTCTTTTCTTTCCCATCCTTACCTGTCTCTTGCAGGTACATACTACACCTACATCAACTGGTTTGGGTTTTTATGTTTGAAGGCCAGCTTTCAAGTGTTTATTGTCAGGGCGGCTCAGAAGAGGTCACGAGCTATATCAGTAATGCCCTTGCTGTTGTAGCCAAACAATTGCAGAACATACTGTAACTGCATTGCTGGCATCCATGTATATTTATGATCTTCCATGATGTTTGATTTCTGCTCTGTGACAGGGATTCAAATTACAGTTAATTGGCTTCAGGACCTTTTATTCTGCTGGAGATCCCTGCTGTGCCAGGGCAGCATTTTAAGCTTGTTGGGCGCTTAGAATGCTGTTAGGACAATCTCGTTTGTTTAGTACTGGCAATTAAATTGTTATTTATATTGTGGTAATGCTTTGGATTCTCACTCAAGGGCCAGGATTTCTTCTTCCAGCACAGAACAGGTGATGCATGAGTAGATGATCCCTGACCGTGGCGATGTCCATTCTGCCATGTAGAGTGGCATCAGTGTGTCTTTATCTTCACTGGAAATAGGTGACCTGTGACATTATTCATATGTTTGCTTTCTGTGTGCTTGCAGCAAATTTGTGACTCTCAATAACTTGTGACACTTTCTGTATTTTAGGTGGCGATTTTTCTACCTTGTGGCATCAATTCTTCTTGTTACTCTCAAAGTGCATGACTGTATTTTGTACAGTTGATTCCATTACCCCTTTTTCTATTACTCTGTTCCTCGATATTGTTTGGTTATTTCACTCTTTAATATCGTTCTCCTGTACTGACAATGCCTCTCAATTTTTTAGCTTCAGCAACTATCTTTAGGACATTGCATTAAACACACACATGCACGCGCACATATTTGTATGTCTGTATATGCCTGGGCACATGTACGTGGGAATACATGATAAATTTTAAAAAAGAATTCACTGACGATGTCACAAGTGGCAGTTTAATCCCAGACCGATTCCTGAGGAACTGTCCCAGTGACTATCTTCCATATGGGTGGTCATCTTCTCATACGTTGTATTTAGCTAGACCATTAATCGTCTTTATTCATTGCCGGCTTTTTCAGCCCAATTTATTTTCATCTATGCCTTACTGAATACTTCCAGAAACTCTGCTTGATTACCTTTGTTTAAAGAACCAGTTCTCTTAACAAAGATGTACCTGGCCTCACTGACTTCTGGCAAATATCCAAACAGTATGTTTCCAATTCAGAATAAAAGACAAACAAACAAACCCCAACCCAAAGTTAAAGCTAGTTGGACAAAATAAATAGGATAGGACAAGAGAATGTGAAGAAAGATTGTATGAACTTGAAGATCTAAAAGCAGATGCTCCCTTTCCCCTGCCCTTTCTCACCATGCTATTTTTTGACACATTTGATTCTTTTATTTTAATACTTTTTTAGACTGTGTCAGTTGGCTTGAGCGGCCAGGCTGTAGACTACGCAATGCCCGTCTGCCTTCCTGGGGAAACCAGGATAAACAGGATGTGGAGATGTACTGCAGATGGTAATTGTCATGTCGCTAAGAAATGCAGTGCTTGAAATACTACCAGCAGTTTCTGATCAGTTGCGAGGAAGGAACCTAGAAGGCAGGAAACTGATAGAAACTGCTCGTTTCCTTGCGCATGCGCACGCCCAGCCCAAAAGTCCCACCACAAGTTTTGTGTCC